CTCACTGTACTGAATCAACCTATTCTGAAGGGAGTTAAGAAGATGGAGAATATTTTTTCAGTCCAGTAGAGTAAATCAAGCAAATTCATGCTGTGGAACTTTACTGAGGACAGTTTTTCATGAGGAACTTTATAACTTTTTATAAGAGAATAGATAGGTGATGTTCCGGTAAGCATTGGTGTCTGTCAGCCTTTTTGTATCACCAATTATCCCCAGTGCCTAGCATAGTGCCTGGCACATAGTTGGCATTTAATGTTTATTGATTGACTAATGATAATAGTATTAGCAAAATTGCATTGATGAGGCAGTGTTAGTTGGGAATTATGTCTTTAACTAAAGGCACTTTTGTGGACATAAAAACATTAAAAATAACTGGGAAATGTTTAGGAGAGTGGCAGGGATGTTGATTATAGTAGGTAAGGTGGGAATGGTTGGAAAAGCTTCATTGAAAGATGGTATAATTTACTTTGACAGTGGTGGTCAGAAGATGTTAAATTGATTGGGGTAAGATTTAGCTTTTATTTGGGAAATTTGGGGGGTATTAAACATTTTGGCCAATGAATTTTGTAACTAAAAATTACTGTCATGTTAGGTTTGCTGAAATATATTATCATGTATCTCATAACTCCTTACCAAGAAGACTGAAAACTATGCGTGTTGATTTATAAAAATTTTACCGGGATAGGGCAGAGCGTACTTGTTCAGAGTCAAAGGAGACTAGAGTGCTTGTTAATGTATATCCATACATCCTTAATAGAAAATGTAGCCCCTTCTTTGAAATCTACTCAAGTGATTATTCTATTATTACTCCTTTGGTCAGTAGACTCAAATAATTTATTATTATTATTATTATTTTTTTTTTTAGGCAATGGTGGTTAAGTGACTTGCCCAGGGTCACACAGCTAGTAAGTGTCAAGTGTTTGGTCTGAGGGCAAATTTGAACTCAGGTCCTCCTGACTTCAGGGCCAGTGCTCTATCCACTGCGCCACCTAGCTGCCCCTCAAATAATTTCTTTTAGCAGATACTTATTAAATGTCTGCTATGTGCTGTGGGCTGTACAGAGATATAAGATAGGCCCAATTTTAGATTTCTGTATTTTAAAGTTCACATTAGAGTAGAATATAGTGTTTTTCTAAAGATTGACCTGAAAAATTCTTCATGGTTTATGTAGATTCTTATTACAGTGAATTCTTCATTAATTTGTTTAGACATTGGTCAGTGTAGACAGCCCCTGCCATTCTACCCTTCCCTATCACAGCAATACTTATATTGTATATCAAATTCCCATGTTTGGGAGTTGTTACCTACTTAGCAGCTCCTATCATCCTTCTGTAATGTTATCTCAGAAAGTTGGAAACTTAGGTGTACTGCGTTTTTCACAGGTTGTCAACTCCCATCGTGGGATAAAATTGTGTAGTAATTTAAGGTGAGGGATGGAACATTCTTTACTTTTTAGTCATATATGCCTTGCTAAATAAAGTTTTTGGTTACTATAAATGAAGAAAATTGTAGAAAGTTTTTGTTTTGTTTGCTTGTGTTTAGTCGTGATAAGTCACTCCCACTTTTTTGCATCAAGGCATTTATATAAAATAGACTGCATTTGGCAAAATGTTTTGATGGGAGCTTTTATTTCGGACCAGGGACTTAGCATTAAATAAATCATTGATATTCCTAACAGTGTATCTTTTTTAGGCTTAAATACTAAAACCTAAATACACAATAGAGAAAAGAAAAAGAAACATAAATATAAATTTTGAAACAAATACAAAATAAGAAAAGAAATAAAAGCATATCTTGTACACAGCAGAACATAAGAAAAGATTCATGTAGCAATAAATTTCCATTTCAGGAAAGCCTATATAATAAATACTACGTATTGTGTTGAGAGCCGTCCATCTTTGCTTCTTTGTAAGCTTTCTTTTCTTCTCTGCTGTACCCCTTTTATTTTGTTCTCCCCCCCCCACTACAATTAAGCATGGATATATTTATATATAGATACGGATAGATACATGCAAATATACATACATACATAAACTAAGCCTGACAAATTCTACTCCTGACCTTTGGTTTTTATGTTTGTGCATATCTCATTTCCTGACTCCTCTACTTTATTTCTACATGCCACCTTATCCTTCTATTACTTAACCTATCCCTTCTTCATCCTTCCAGACCCATAAATCTGAACACCCTTCTATATGCCCCTTTAACCTTTCTTCACCTTCCCCTCTAGAGATCCCTCCCTATCCCCTTAGCATTTTATTTCTTTCTGAATTTAGAAGACTTTTATAGTCTTCTAGATATATATGTATTGTTCTCTTGAGCCCGTTTCCTGATGAAAGCAGTTTTCCAGAACTCACAGACCCTTCTCCCCCACCTAATTCCTCTATGTTAGTTCTTCATCTAGCACCTCATTTGTATAAGATAATTACTCTTTTTAGTTGTTCTAAACAGTTTTACTTTTTAAAGTCATATCATACTCAGGTTTACTCCAATCTTTCTTATGCATTGCCCAATTACTAATGGCAATCTGTTTTGCTAAGATTTTTATATACATAAAGTATGTTTTGCATTTTACATATGTAAAAGGTAAACAGTCTGTCCTTATTGTGTTCCTTGTAATTGATTAGTCTTTGGTATGTACCTTGTATTTCTCTTGGCTCTTGTATGTCAAATCTTCTATTAAGTTCAGGTTGTTTTTTGTTTGTTTTTTAAACAAAGTCTGACAATTCATTTAATGTCTTTTTTTTCCCCCATTCAGGATTATGCTTAATTTTGCTGGGTATGATATTTTCAGCTGGAACCCCAGTTCTTTTGCTCTTCAATATGTAGTGTTTCAAGACCTGCGGTCTTTTAGTGTCGCCACTGCTTGTGTGACCTGTCTTGTGTGATTCAAATTGTGGCATTGTCATATTTGAATTGTTTTTTTTCCTGTTGCTCATAATATTTTCTCCTTGAGCTGGGGGTTTCGGTATTTGACTATAATATCCCTGTGGGTTTTCCTCATAGGATCTCTTTCAGGTGGTGATTGATGGATTTTTTTTTTTTTCCTGTTTTCCCCTCTTCTAATGCTTCAGGACAATTTTCTTTAATTATTTCTTGTATTATTGTATCAAGATTCTTTTTTTGCTCATAATTTTCAGGTAGTCCAATTCTTATGTTTCTCTTGAACTGTTCTTCATATCAGTTGTTTTTCTTATGAGATGTTTCACATTCTCATCAATATTTCATTCTTTATATTTTGTTTTATTATTTTTTGATCTCTTATAACTTTGCTGGCTTCCTTCCCCTTGCCCAATTCTGATATTCAAGAAATCATTTTCTTAAGATTTTGAATCTCCTTTTCTAATTGGTTGACTTTCTTTTCTTAATCTTGTTTTTCTTGGATTGTTCTTATGAGTTTTACTAATTCTTTTTGAGCAGGTGACCATTTGACATTACTTTTTGGGGTAGAAGAGGGTTTCTTTGCTTTGGTATCCCTAAAGACAAACTCCCTGTATTCTCTATTCCCATAGTAATGCTCTGTGGTTGGATTCTTTCCCCTTTGCTGTGTGGTTTTTTTGGGGGGGGGGGAGGCAATTGGGGTTAAGTGACTTGCCCAGAGTCACACACCTAAGTGAGTGTTATGTGTCTGAGGCTGGATTTGGACTCAGGTCCTCCTGACTCCAGGGCCAGTGCTTTATCTGCTGCCCCACCTGTGCATTTTTAAAATTTGTATTAGCTTAGTTTTTGTAATCATCTGTAGTCCTGAGGTATGGGAGATGGTGCTTCTGGCCTCAAATCCTACTTCAGTTCTCCCTTCTGGCCTAGAACCAAAACCAAGACCTCCGGCCTCCTGTAAGTGCCCACAACAGCAGAGTCTCTGCCCCACTGCTTCTACACCCACCAGGCATGTGCTGATTTCTTCTTGCCCCTGGCCACAGCACAGCTGGGTCTAGCATTCCTTATCAGCAGAGTTTCCCTAGGTCATATCTGGCTCAGACGCTCAATATCTCTGTCTTGGGGGTAAAAATTCCTGGGGCTGTGGGCTGGGGCTGAGGCAGCTTCCCAGCCTAGCTAATCCCAGGGCTTGCTGCTTGTTGTTTAAGTGGACCCTAGCCTAGAGATGTTTACTCTTCACAGGGACCAAACCTCATCCTGAGATTTTTTTTTTTTCTTTTTTGGTGAGGCAATCTGGGTTAAGTAACTTGCCCAGGGTCACACAGCTAGTAAATGTATTGTGTCTGAAGTCAGATTTGAACTCAGGTCCTCCTGACTCCAAGGCCAGAGCTCTATCTACTGCACCACCTAGATACCCCCAGTCCTGGGATTTTTCTTCAGATCTTCCCTGATTGTCCCAGGAGGACCCCTGTTCTCCCCCTACTCTTACTTATTTTTACTGCTCTATGTTAACTCTGAAGGGCTTTTTTATCACTTTTGTGGGGGAAAGTCTTGAGAGCTTGGAATTTTCTGACCTATCCTCCCGTCTTCCCAGAATGTTCTTTTAACAGTGTATCTTTAAAGCAAAGATAAAATCATAATAAACCTTTGTATATAAAATTAAGCTCTAGCTCCTACTGGGCATTTTGTTATAAAGTGTATATAAAGGATAAAGTGTATATAAAGGACATAAAAATAAACTCATAAATTTGACCCATGTAAGACTAATATTCAGGCTAAAATAAATATTAAATATATAATAGGAGTTTTTTTTTTCACCAATTTAGCTTTTTAAAGGCTTTTGGGGAATTGTTTGGATAACTTAGAAATCTTTCAAGAGCTGTTCAGGGAAGTTGTCCTTATGGCAACAGAATCATTCAAAATCTTTCCACTTGTATCATTCATTTTTTTTTTTTTTTAAGTTGTTGTGACATCTAGATATAAACCTCATTATAAATATTTGAATTTTGAATAGAAAAATTTGTTAAATCTAGCTAGTCTTCCTGCTTATTTTTGTTTTGTGTGGTGACCTTACCCTATGTAATTTATTTTATAACAGGTTAATGTTAATATTTTATTTATAGGTAAAGATGGCACTTCGAACCTCAGGACATCTCTTATTGGGAGTAGTTCGAATCTATCACAGGAAAGCAAAATATCTTCTTGCAGATTGTAATGAAGCTTTCATTAAGATAAAGATGGCGTTTCGGCCAGGTACTGTCAAACTTTCTTCTATCCTACTTTTCTCATTATTTTCCCTACTGCTCTAGTAGACGCTATTTCAAGTGATATTCTAAATTATTCTTAATAATTAAACAGTACCTAAAAAAAACAGATTTTGAATATTTCTCTTCTAAAAGATGATTGACTATCTTAAAATTATAAATCTAGTGACTGACCATTACATTGTCCAAGTGCAAAGGAAACTGATTTTTTAAATTAATGCTACACAATTGCCAATAATCGGCTCTTTTTTTCCGCTGGCCCTCTAAAGCATGAGGTTTTTTTTTTTTTTTTTAACATTTTTGTGTCATGTGGAGCCCTTTGGCAGTCTGGTGAAGTCAACAGACCCTGCTTCAGAACAGTGTTTTTTAATGCGTGAAATAGAGTATATTATTAATTATAAAGGAAGCCAGTTATAGAGAAATTTAGTTATCAAAATATTTTTTTTAAAAAAGTTCACATACCCCAGGTAAAAAACTCCTTTTCTAGAGGTTAGGATAACTTGTCCTTATCAGCCACCAAACTGTTAGTTTTTGTGTTGTTTTCCGAGAACTACTTGGAGCAATGTTTCCTGTTGTTATACTGTTTAAAGGTAATTGTAGTTTAAAACTTTATACATAATTGTGTTGCGTAAATTTGAAAGGAATGTTATAATTACGTTTTCATCTCATCTGTTTCTTTTGTGCATTTGACCCATTGGCATAGCCTCACTTAATTTGGTAGATGGTTTGTACTTTTTAGTTATGTATTTTGTATGGTTTTATTTAAAGTTCTTAAATTTATACAGAAATTGATTTTTACTTGGAAAGATAATTATTAAAGTGCAAAAGTTCTTGCCCTAAATTCACATCTGTTAATTTTGAGGGGGGAAAAAACCATGATAGGCAATGTGGTATAATAGATAGGAAAGTTGTCCACAGAGTCCAGAAGACCTGGGTTCATGTCTTATCTCTGATACATATTGGCTATGTGATCACAGACTAGACAATTTCAACTTTTTAGTGCCTTCAGCAACTTTTAAAGACTGGATGTCTTACTATGATTATAGAAAAATAGAAATACCATGTATCAAAATAGTCTATCTTTATTATTTTATCCTTCAGGAAATTTCAATGCCCCCATCTTACCCTTTGTTCTTTAGAAATTGGCCTATTCGTGATTCAACTTTGTCTTTTTCAGGTGTTGTTGATTTGCCTGAAGAAAATCGGGAAGCTGCTTATAATGCAATCACTTTACCTGAGGAATTCCACGACTTTGATCAGCCACTGCCTGATTTAGAGTATGATTTTTATTATTTTTTATTGGCTTTGTCTACAATATATATAAACTGCTAGTGCATTCCAGTACCACCATTTATCTGAATGTCTTGGCATTATTTTTTACACAGCCATTATCTTAGAGGTACACATTCCCTGTTTTTTGCTGTTAATCAGTTTGGTTTTTAGCATCACTGTTTTGTTTTGTATTATCTGGGCAGGATAAATAGCGTGCCGTAAGTGCAGTGCTAATTGTGATATGATTCAGTGGAGGTCACATCATCTTCATAAATGAAGATTTTCCATAGGGACCTGGATATAGTTTTGTGGGAGCAGTCTGACCAGAAGCTAAAGTGTGCATTTCTTTTTGTTTCAGTTCATTTCCTGAGTCAGTTGGATATGAGTAAACCAACAGGGGGAAATTATTAAAAATTCTTTCCCCCAGCTTGAAAATTGCCAAACCAGTTTAGGAAATGGAACTTCAACTTCATTCTAGTTTAGTTATAGCATGATTGGACTTAAGAGAACATGCGATTCTTTGGGCCATCGTTCTGGATGGATCATCATAGAATCTGGGTTAGATGGGACCTTAAAGGTCACCAGCCTCCACTTTTGAAGACCTTTAGTGGTATAGTACTTACTACCTTTCAGAGTAGCCCCATTCCACTTTTGAATGTATTTAATTTTATTATATCAAAATCTGCCTATCTTTAAAGTCTACTCCCTGTCTTAATTCAGCCCTCTGGGACAGAGTTAAACAAATTACATCCTCTTTCTATTTAATAGCAGTCTTTAAATATTTAAAGGTATATCATGTATCTCCCTTTTCTCTCCCGTCCATTTTCCAACCTTCAAACCCCTAGTTTTGGCTTCTGGCTGAACATCCCTAATACTGTAATCTAACACAGGATAGTTTCCATTCCATTAACCACACTGGTTACCCTCATCTGGTTGTGCTCCCATCTTGTCAGTGTATATCCTAAAAGGTACCTATAACTGAATGTCAGCTATCTGAGTACAGTAGCATTATAGCCTTTATTCTAGATACCACTCAGCCCAAGATCACAGTTAGCTTTTTGGAAGATGCTGTGTCTATCGTCTCAATTGTTGACTGTCCTTCCCATCTTCATGTCAAATTTTACAAATATGCTACCTGTGTATTGAAATAATTTGTTAGAAATGTTAAGCACATTTGGACAGAGAGCAGATAGCTCCCTATTGTGAACTCATAGAGACATCTCTTCTCCCTCTAGGTCAGATTATATAGTTCTGAATCTGCTTCTTTATACTACCATCCAGTTTTTATCTCTCCATGTTTTTCTTAGTTATCATCATTTATTTTTAATGCCTTGCTGAAATTGGAGTGTGTCTCTGTCATTCTCTTGATCTAGTAAGTTAATTGACAGTCTAGTAACTGTCAAAAAGAAAATGAGGTTAGGCTAATAAGGCCTGCTATTGGTGAACTAATACTGACTCTTAGTGATTATCACATCCTCTAACATACTCCCAAGCCCCCTTAAAAGAATCCTGTTCCTACTTTGTTCTTGCTGCTCTAGCACAGCTTTTTAAATACTTTTTTATTTAGTCCTAGTTTTCATTGCAAGATTCAGCCTATTCTGGGCTTTAACATCCTAGATACTCTTAGAGTAGCATGCTGCTCTTGTGTATATATTGTTTTCTGCCGTTGGTCAGAATCACAGACTCTAAACCACTTTGCGTACATACCTTTTCACAAGTGGTCATTCAGTCTCTCCTAAAGACCTCCAATGAGAGGCGTACGTAAAGGAATTTTAAATATTGAGGTCAAGTGTGCACCTGGGTAATTCCTACCTATTGCTCCTTTATTTTGATCTCTTGAGGAGGACAGCAGAACAAGTCCAATTGCTCTTCCAGACAATAGCCCATCAGGTACTTGAGGGCAATTATTATGTCCCCACTGTCTTCTCCAAATCAAAAATTTCAGTTGCTTTTACTATTATTTTATTGTCTAGTCAACATGGCCATTACCATGACTGCCCTTGAACTTAGGTTGTACCTAAAATATTATGCTCAGAATTAAATACAATACTCCAGGTATTTTCTGACCACAAGAGATTTCCTGCTGGATTACCACCTCCATCTTGAGACACTTTACTGCTTTCTGTACAATCTAGGATTTTATTCACTGTTACGACTACCATGTTGCTCTTAGCAAACTAAAACTTTCTGATCTTTTTCCAGAAAGCCACTGTCTAGTCACATCTTCTCCCATCTTGTACTTAGAAAGTAGATTTTTTTTATTGACACCCGAATGTAAGACTTTATCTTTATCCTTGTCATCATTTTAGGCTATCCAGATATTTTTGCATCCAGACTCAATCCAACATTTGTTATCTTTTCTAGCTTTGTATCATCTACACATTTGATAAGCATACCAATCTATGCCTTCCAAACGTTGATACAAATGTTAAACGTCACAGGACCAACGATCTTCTGAGTCATGCCACTAGATTTTCAATCCATCACTGATTATTTTTGGACCCAAGCATTCAGCCAATTCCATGGTTGTTTTATGATGTCATCTAACTCAGATCTTTCCATTTTGTCTCCAAGCGTAACATAGCATGCAAGGCTTTCTCTCCACGCTTAGCCAAAATCTAAGTTGTCTCTATAGCAAACTTACTTATCCATATGCCAATAGCCTTGTTATAAAAGGAAGTAAGATTAGCTTGTTCTGACTCTTTGATGACCACTTCTCTTTCTATATGGTCTCAAGCCATCTCTTAATAATGTGTCCTAGTATTTGACTAGGAACTGAAGGCAAGTGAACCAACCTGAGCTCGGCCTGTACTACTACTCTTGGAGTAGTTTATTTGGACCTAGTGACCTCAGCTTAGTGAGACCAGCTTGTTATTAGTAATTTTATCATTTCATTTTAACAAGAAATTGAAACCCAGGATAAGTGATCATTTTTGTTCTTTCCTCCCAAGCCCAAAGACCACTTTTTGGCAAACAAAACAGAAACAATTTAAAATTCATTAGTGTTTTTTTTCACCACCAGTCTCATCCTGTATAGGTGAATATCCCTCTCCCTTATTGTTCTTACTGTCTCCATCTTATTTACACATCTTCTGAAAATTTCTTCATTATTAGAGTTCAGTATTGTAAGAAGTTTATTCTTATATCTTTAACTGACTTTCAGTGTGGAATCTTATTCTAAATTCTTCATATCTCTCCCAAAATTATGAGTATACAAGGCATTCTATTAATTTATCATAAACTCTGCAATAGTATAGTTACTTCTTGAAGTTCGCATCATTTTATTATTTTCACCCCCCATGGTACTTTGCTACTAGTTCCATCAAATCTGGCAAATTTTGCTGCTTTATGACGCAAGTTGGTCCAAATGATAAGACACCATCACAGTTCTATTTACACATTTTCTAAAGTCTTGCCTTGAGCCTCAGTATTTTTACTCCATAGTGCGAAGATATTTGTAAGTATGTTATTATTTTAGCCCGGTGTTCTATTTTGAAAAAGTCTAAGCAATTTCAACTTTTTTTTTTTTAAAGTGACATTGATGTGGCTCAGCAGTTCAGCCTCAACCAGAGTAGAGTGGAAGAGATTACAATGAGAGAAGAAGTTGGAAACATCAGTATTCTCCAGGAAAATGACTTTGGTAAAAGAAAAAAAAATCATGATCCATAACTTCTCATGAATTAGAGGTTTGGCAGTGAGGGTGTTACAGGGAAATGGATATGATGGTGCTAGGGAGGGTGATTGATTCTATACAGATTTTTTTTTCTTTTCATGAAAATTCACCTCTTGCTTCCACTTCCCCTCCCTCCCCCTGCACCCTATTGAAAAAGCTAGAAAAACAAAATCCTTTTTACATATATGTATACTAAGGCAAAACAAATTCCCACATTGACCATGTCCCCTCAAAAATGTCTTGGTCTGTTCTGAGTACAACATCTCTTTCAGAAAATAAGTAGCTTCCTTCATCACAAGTTTTCTAGAAATCTGATTAGTCATTATGTTGATCAGAGTTCTTAAGTCTTTCAAAGTTGTTTTTTGTTTACAATATTGTTATTACATAAATTATTCTACTATTTCTTATTTAATTCTGTCTATGCAGTTTTCTGGTAGATTCAGGTTTAGGTTAGGTCCAAATTCAGATATATCTAAATTAAGTATTTTAGTATGCTGAGTTACTGAAGAAATGACACTGAGTAGAATTAAGGTATCGAGTAATAACTTTTCATCAAGAAAAGGATCCCCTAATATTCCATTTTATTCTCAACACATAATAATAGATACTATATATTGTTTTAGTTCGTCTTATTTAGCTTGTTTTAGTTTCTTAATACTAAAGCCATGTTAGCTCTGTAACTAATTTTCTAAAAAGAAAGCTCTGAAAAGCTCTCTTTGGAGATTTCTGCTGCAGTATAGATTTTAGAAATAAAAATTCTTTAACTGTTGCTAAAGAAGCAGGTGGTCCTGGTAGTGATAGTTATGTGAAATGGATAACTCCATTTATGAGGTTTGGATTCATTTGGATTTCTGTGCAAAATATAACATGGATGTGTATAAAATATAATATTTGTATTAAATTTATGAAAGTGGGTATATTTTTTGTCAATATAAAATTCTTTTCAGTGAATACAGATTTAAATTCTTCTTAGGTGACTTTGGGATGGATGATCGTGAAATGATGCGTGAGGGTAGTGCATTTGAAGATGATGACATGTTAGTGAGCACTAGTGCTTCTAACCTCTTACTGGAACCTGAACAAAGTACCAGTCACCTGAATGAGAAAATCAACCACCTAGAATATGAAGACCAATACAAGGATGACAATTTTGGAGAGGGAAATGATGGTGGCATACTGGGTATGTTCAAAAAGATGACTATTTCACAATGATTCATTCATTGGACTCTGGTATATCAACAACTAATCATCAAAATACTTAGTAATATGTGTTGCTTGTGCAGCTTACTAAATTGGCAGACCAATGGTGGCAAGTCTTAACCAAATGTTTCCTTTGGAGCTGTTCTTAACAGTTATGTTAGCAGTATGATTTTGCGGATAGTCTAGAATAGTACTAAATTTTCTAATTTTTAAGATAGTCTTTAGTTTTCTTCGATTACAATGAACATTTTTAGTTGGTATGCCAGGTTAGGAACTATACTTTTAAATTATAAACATTTGATGTAGAAGTTACTTTTATTTAAGAAATTTTCTTTTTTGTATTAGAGTTGGCTGGGTGTGAAGTGAACTCACTAAAATATTTTAGTGTGATTTTATTATTTTTTCAGCAATTGGCTGTTGTCTGTTGTCTATTCCACATTATAGTTGAATTTTTTTCACCGTTTCAGATGACAAACTTATAAGTAATAATGATGGAGGTATATTTGATGATCCCCCCGCCCTCTCTGAAGGAGGGGTCATGATGCCAGAGCAGCCTGCACATGATGATATGGATGATGATGACAATGTATCAAGTGAGTATGCCACTTCATGAATGTGTTTCTAGTATTTTTATTTAGTTGGGATTGTGTGGTATCCAGAATACATTTAACATGAGACATTGATTAAAGAGCTAAAATTCATACTCAGTGAGTAAATTTGGTTTACACAACGGTATTTATACCTTTGTTACATCAGGATATCCCTAGCTAGATTAGAAAGTCAGTTTCTATTGCAGTCCTTATTTCTATTCTAATTTTCCTTTTTCACACTAGGACTCATTTTTTCAAGTGGGAAAAGGAATTGGGAGGAAAGAATTGTATATAGTTAGATTCTGAGAGTTGATTCTCTTTCTCTTAAGGGGGTTTACATTTCATAAGGGAATTCTGGGTATTGTTGGCTTTGGAATTCTTGGTGGAAATAGCTTGTGTGTGTCTTTGTTTTTAACAGTGGGTGGACCAGATAGTCCAGATTCAGTAGACCCTGTTGAACCATTACCAACTATGACTGATCAAACAACACTTGTTCCAAATGAAGAGGAAGCTTTTGCTTTGGAACCTATTGACATCACTGGTGAGTAAATAAAATATGTTTTGACTACTCTTGATAATGGAAATTTTAGATATCTTAGTAATTTAAATTGAGTATAGGAGTCTAGGTTGCATAGAGTATAAGTCAAGAGACTCGAGTACTAATTCTGGCTTGCCCCACTGTGTGACCCTAACATTGTGTGGTGTGTACAAAGTAAGACACAGTCCCTGACCTGGAATGTTTAATTTCATTAGAGAAGCAGAGTTTACTGAGATTACTGAGGTTAAATTTACATTTGTGATTAGCAGCTCTATTGATGGAAATAAATATTTTAAAGTGCATGAAGTTAGATTTATCTTATGGAAGGCAGTAAGTAATACAATGCAAAGTCAAGCTTTAAAAGAAGTGAATGGCACAAATAAGAAAGTACAAAGTATGGTAAGAAAAATGGTGATGAAGTGCTGGCTTTGTGTATTTATTTATTTATTGTGAGGTAATCAGGATTTGCCAAGGGTCACACAGCTAGTAAGTGTCAAGTGTCTGAGGTCACATTTGAACTCAGATCCTCCTGACTCCAAGGTCGGAGCTCTATCCACTATGCCACCTAGGTGCCCTGATAAAGTGCTTTTAAAAAAATTGAAAGTGGAGTACAAATGTAAAATGCTTTTTTTTTTTTTAAGTTCAGGACCAAAAACAAATAGAACATCTAAATAATACAATAATCTTAAAACACTGTTTCGTATCAGAGTTGAAATGAATAATCCAAAATACATTGTAGGATTTGTCACTTCTAGATAGTAATTTGTTTCAGTACAATTAATCCTTTAATACAAACTAATTAGTAGGCTAGCTCAGTTTATCTATTTAGAGCCTTTAAGGGGTCAGCATTATTAATAGATTACTTAGATTTCTAGATATTTGTTAGTGAGTAAATTTGGGGATGTAAAAGTTTTCTTCCTTAACTAGACAATAGTTTCCTTATGCTGATAGAAAAGGAAAAACTTCCTTATCCAGTTTGAGGGGGCTGGGAAATTGTTGGTCAAAAATGCAGGTTAACTCAAAGTTCTCGCTGGTAGGTAAGTATCTATACCCCCACTGGACCCCCTTACCAATCACTCCTTTTGTTTTCCTTCACTTGAATACCTGATGTGAATCCTGAAACTAAAAATTGCAAAGTGTCTTTTGAAGACATTTTAGTGAAAAAGGTGGAGAAGAGAGTAAAGGGAAAGGATAACCTTAGGCAGAAGCTTACCTTTGCATATTCCAACATGAATTACTCTGGAAAATAAAGCGTTTATAGCAAAGGTGCAAAATATCTTAACTATAGAGTAAACAGCTTTCTGGACAGCTAGGGGGTACAGTGGATAGAGCACTGAGCTTGGAGTCAGGAAGATCTGAGTTCAAATCCCAACCTCAGTCACTTAGCCTTGTTGGCCTCAGTTTTCCTCATCTGTAAAGTGAGCCTGAGAGGGAAATGGCAAACCATTCCAATATCTTTACCAAGAAAACCCCAAATAGGGTCATGAAGAGTCAGACGTGATTAAAATGACTTGAACAACAACAGCAAAAAACTCTGTGATCCTAGAGGTGCTTTTCAGAATTTATTCCTATAATTGCTGCACACATGAATGGAATTGAATATCTAAGTAAAGATCATCTTAAGATTGATGTTGAAGGTACATAGTTCTTCTTGATTATCTTTGGGTTCCAGCTATAAGGAGAAAATTTATATTGGGAAATAAATCAGAAATCTCTGGAGATTCCTGAATCTTGATCGATTGGTAAATTCTCATTCACAGTAAATTCTGCTGTCTTTTGCTTTAGCAAACCTTTTTTTTGCCGTGAGATAATGCAGGGATAAATTTAAGCTCTATTACTTGTTCATTTTTTTGGTGAGATTTTAAATTTTTATTTTAATATATTGATATGTTAATTTAGTTGTTTGGTGAGGCACAGTCAGTCATCACAAAATGGTCTTGGATTACCAGGGTAAAGAATTTGTTGTGCAGATACTATGAGATAATAAATATAAACATCATTTGAAAAACAAGAAATTGCTGTCAAGATTCGCAGTGAAATTGCAGTAAACTACCTACAGTGGTTGGAGAATGAGTGGATTGTAGGGTTGTGGACTTAGAGCTGGAAAGGGATCTTGGCTATCTCATACAACACTTTCATTTTACAGATAGGGAAACTAAGGCCCATAGAAGTTAAATGTCTTGCCTGAGGTCACACATGTCGTGACAAAGGCAGGATATTCTTGCTGTTTTGGTTAACTGAGAATTCTTATAGGTACTATGTCTGGGTTACCAATTTTCAAACCAATTAAAATACATGCAACACTAAACGTTCCTTGAATGTAATTTACTATTTTATGCACAAGGTTCCTGAGGACTTTTAATACCTCAGGGTCATTATTTTGAACAAGTTCTTGTACAGAACCACAAAATAAATTTTGTTTTACAGTAGCATAGTGAAAGAAGCGTTTTTGGCAACAGAGGAGCTAGGTTTCGATCTCATCTTTCTGCTTGGTTAGCCACATGGCTTTGAGTATGTGATCTTTTCTGGATTTAGTTTCCTCATGGGTAAAATGAAAGATTGGGATTAGTTGATTTCTAAGGTGACTTCCATCCACAGATGCTGTAGTTGTATTGTTAATAAAAGCATTCACTATTACCTATACCCAAGTCTTTGAACTTTCTGATATTTTAATATTGTTAAGCACTTAGAGCTAGATATGCAGAATAAATTAGACCTACTTCATTCTGTGTTTCAGTGTCTACATTGATTTGGGTCTGTGTGGTAAGTGAAGAGTACAAGAAAACAGTGATGCCTAAGGATCTAAATATGTGCAGATTTCTCTGCCTGGATGCTGTCTGTCAGTATGTAGTTTAGCCTTTGCCTCTAAATTTACGACATGACATATTCTATTTTTTTGCCCGTTGTCCCAGTCAAGGAGACAAAAGCCAAAAGGAAGAGGAAGCTAATTGTTGACAGTGTGAAAGAGCTGGACAGCAAGACAATTAGAGCCCAACTAAGTGATTATTCTGATATTGTCACTACTTTGGACCTTGCACCACCCACCAAAAAATTGATGATGTGGAAAGAGACTGGAGGAGTAGAAAAACTTTTCTCTTTGCCTGCTCAACCTTTATGGAACAATAGACTACTGAAGGTAATGTTTGAAGTTTATCTTACGTGATTTCGATTGTCTTTGGGTGACGAGAGGCAGCTAGATGGAGCAGTGGATAAAGCACTGGGCCCAGAGTCAGGAAGACCTGAGTTCAAATCATAATTCAGACATTTAATAGCTTTATGACCCTGAGCAAGTCATTTAACCTCTGTTAGTCTCAGTTTCCTCAGTGTAATGGGGACCATAATAGCACCTACCTTACAAGGTTATTATGAGGATCAAATTAAGATATTTTAAAGTGCTTAACATAGCACCTGACATAATAAATACTTACTCCATTCCATTCCATTAGTACATTTTGGTAATGCAATAACATTTATTTGGCATTGTCCAAAAAAAATGCAAATTCAACAAAAGCTTTCCTTTTGGAATGCCCAGACAGTTTTTTTAAAGCCCACTTAAATTTATTTTGCTCTTCTTGCTCTGGTTCAGAATCATTACAAACATTGTTTTAGTAGTTCTTTAGATTTTTGCAGATACTTTTGTTTTTTAACCATATATACAACATTCAGCAAATAGACCAAAAAACCCACAGTAAATCTCCAAACAAAACCTTAAAACTTCAGCTATTTGTATTTTGATTGTTTAACCATTATGTTTCAACAAAATAAGAATAACAGTTATTCTGTGCCTTCTTAATCAGTCTGTGACTAAAGTCTTCTTGCCTTTGCTTTTTTTTTTAATACGATTGTAATCGATGTGTAATTTTTCATATTCTCTTGATTTTGTTTTGCACCATTTCTTTTTTTTCCCCCATGCATTTGTATTCTTTACATTTTTGTCTTTTTTTTATGGGTTACTATCCTATTCTGTTGGTGGACATTGATTTAGTCATTCCCTAATTGTTGGTCATAAATGTAAGGTTATTTGTCATTTTAAATTATTGCTAGTGTGTTTTGCTGTCTTAACAGTTATCTGGTTGAGGGCTGCATGAGAGAAAGGTATTGTTTTTGGATGGTCACTTTAAAACTTTATACTTTTTTTATTTCCAGATTGTTACAATTGAGGTTCCCTGGAAGGCTGATTTCAAGATATGGGGCATTGACATTTAGTACAACTGAGGTTTGGTATAGAACCAGTTGTTTATACTTTCATATACATCTCTTTTAGCTCTTTACACGCTGTCTCACACCTCTTGTACCAGAAGATCTTAGGAAAAGGAGGAAAGGTGGAGAAGCAGACAATTTGGATGAATTCCTCAAAGATTTTGAAAATCCAGAGGTGCCCAGAGAGGAACAGCCGCCTCAGCAGCAGCAGCAGCAGCATGATGTTATTGGTTTGTAATGTGGCGATTCTTTTTCCAGGCTTAAGCTGGTATTTAGGTTGAAATTCATGGATAGTTACCACATTAGTCTGAATTAGGCTGCAGTGTAGAATAAGATTTCTTTGAATTGACCTAAATAAATAGAAATACAGCAAGAGAAAACATTTGTGTTGTAGGCCACTATTACGTTTCACAAAAGTCAGATTTGATGGGGGGAGGGAGTGGTACAAGCTTTAGTTGAAAAAATACAGTGATTTGTTGTAACAGCGTATGAATAAGGTATAACTTTTTCAGCCTTGAAAAAGTAGCTTCATGCTGGTAATGAAACAGTATTGAAATAGGCCTCTCAACTTTATATCAAATCTAATCTTTATATGATGGTTTGCAGATGAACCTATTATAGAAGAGCCAAGCCACCTACAGGAATCAATGATGGAAGGCAGCAGAACCAATTTGGATGAATCTGTCATGCCACCGCCACCACCTCAAACAGGAGTAAAACGCAAGGCACAGCAAGTCGACCCAGAGCCTGTGTTACCTGTAAGTAAGAAAATGTCATATGTATAACAAAAGTATACCTTTCTACATCATCTCCTAGATATTTTTTGAGTATGGTTAGTTGTGTGTGTGTGTGTGTGTGTGTGTGTGTGTGTGTGTGAGAGAGAGAGAGAGAGAGAGAGAGAGTGGGGGTTAAGTGACTGTCACACAGCTGCTGAGTGTGATATGTCTGTGCCGCCTAACTGCCCCATGGTTACTCTTTGTTAGGAAAGACGCATTGGACATTAGTCGACAAAGTAAATCAAGCACATAGTATTGTTGATGAAGGGAAGAAATATAAAGGCAGATTGTCACTTGAAAGGACTTATGATTTTTAGATCCTAATTTAAGAGAGAAAACATAGCATAATGGATAAAGTGCTGACCTTTGAGTAGTACGACCTCTGTTCAAAGTTTACTTGTACATAATGGCTTTGTGAGGCTGGGAGAGCCTTTGATTTTTCAGTGGCCCATTCAATGTTCTTAAGGCTACAAGTTGCAGAACAGTTATTAATCTACATTGGTAGAGGAATTATCCTTACCAAGAGTTCTTCTCCACCGATGGAATCAGAACCCTTCCAAAAATACTTAAATTTAGATGAAAATTTGGGATTTCTTGAGGGCTTTTATGATCAAGTGAGTATCATGGATTTTTTCTTTACCTTTTTTATTAGTGCTAGTCTTGATACCCCAGATCTGAAGTCCCTAATCCTTAGTCTTCTAGTTTGGGGAACAGGAACTCTGGGTTATCTGATTCACAATCCCTCATACTATGTGGAAAACCACACAGATGATGTGAGGCATTTAACAGACCTGAGACAGGCTAGAGTCTCAGATTCATTTTGTTTGATTCCTGTTCAGTGTTGGAAATATCTTTATTCTCCCTTACATAAACTGCCCTAAATTTTGTGTAACTGTTTCCTTGTATTACTGAATCTTTCTGAAATATGTTGGGGGGGAGGGGCAGTTTCCAAGGATACTATTGTTTATCTAGCTTTGGGAACCATGTTTGAAGGAGCTGTAAATGATGTGTGCTAGAAACCTAGGTGCTTCATTTTCATTTTTTTGGACCCCCTAACATGAGCTTATGATAGTGGAATTTAGCAGCAGAAGACTCAGACACCAAGAAGCCCTTTATGCCCAACCTATATAGAGAAAGGGTCTTTCGGATTTATTTTGATTATATAAGAATCAGCTTTTCTGTGCCCTCTGGTGGTCAGGAGTTGTAATTAAAGCATATTATGCATTGCCCCAGTTCAGACCCAGAATAGAGGAGAGCTTCTTGAACTTTCTATCAGAACACTGTCTCGTAACATATTCTTAACAGAAGATACTAAAACTGAGAGAAAATGTAAGACAGACCCTGAAGGTGGGGTCATTTCATTCCTCTTAAAAGTTTCTGATGCTGGGGCAGCTAGGTAGCGCAGTGGATAGAGCACCAGCCCTGAAGTCAGGAGGACCTGAGTTCAAATGCGGCCTCAAACCAAACACTTGACATGTACATACTAGCTGTGTGACCTTGGGCAAGTCACTTAACCCCGATTGCCTCACCAAAAAAAAAAGTTTTTGATGCCACTACTAAAAGGCTGTTTAGAACTACTACTACCCTACCTCATTTGTTTGTCATGAGGAAAGTGGTTTACAAATGTGAGCCATATTTAGTATTTTTACTCCCCTGTAGTATCCACTCTCTTCTTGAGCTTTTCTGTACCAACTTTCAGTTGTTTAAAATAATTATAATATAAGACAATTTTTCATTCTGGTAGTTAATAGTATGTGCCAGTTTAGTTGCATGTAATGTTTTGGTCATGGCTTTGTGTCAATCCTATGTTAAAATATTTACCATATAAATTTTTTTCATGAAAAAATAGCTGTTTTTCTTCATGGTTTTTAAAGCAGTTGGCAAAATTTCTCCTTTACTGGGAACATTTATCTACTAAATTTATCTGAAAGAAAAAGGTATCCATATTAGGATCATTATTCTGTAGTTTCAGGTTTAGTGAGAAAGAAAGAGAATTTGGCCTTATATTATTTTAAATATTTGTTAATTTTAAATTATTTTCATTTCTGAATTATCCAAAAAGTCATCCTTTTTAACAAAGATTAAGAAGGAATGAAAGAAGCAATTGGGCAAGGCAAAACAATGCAGGGACCACATCCACCAAAATATATAACATTTCACACCCTTGAGTCTCTCTACTTTTCCAAAGAGGAGGGAGGTACCTTTTCTGTTCTCCAGGACCAAGCTTGGTCTTACAAAGCATTCAGTTTTAGATTTTTGTTCTTTCTACTTAATGTTGTTATGATTGCATATGGTACTTTCTTAGTTTTGTTTCTTTTACCCTGAGTCAGTTCATATTAGTCTTCCTTTACTTTGAATTTTTTATATTGATCATTACAGTGCAATTAATATTAAATTAAGATACCACGATTTAACCATTCCATAATCAGTGGCCATCTACTTTGTTTCCAGTTCTTTTCTACCTCAAAAAGTGCTGCTGTGACTATTATAGTATATATGAGACCTTGCCACCTTTCGCCTTGGAGTATGTAGCTAGCCATGCAATCAATGTATGTGTGTCAAAGGGTGTGGACATTTTATTTTTGCATAATTCGCAGTTGCTTTACAGAATGATTGAATTCATTCACAGTTCCACCAACTCTGTGCTTGTGTTTCTGTACCCTTCCAAACTTAGATTATTCCTGTCTTTTTCATCTTTGTGGCTTATGTAATTATGAGGTAGAACTTTTGAGGTGTTGATTTGCATTTCTCTTATCTGTGATTTGGAACAATCTTTCATATGGCTAATAGTTTAAAATTCTTTTGAGAACTTTTCATATCCTTTAGACCAGTATTCCTTTGAATCCTGAAAGCTTTATCCACTTTGAACTGGCATGTTACATTTACGTTGATTCTTATCATTTCTTTGAATACCAGCCTGAGCAGTTGCAGCAGTTGGAAATCCCACCTGTAGAACTTCCTCCAGAAGAGCCTCCAAATATCTGTCAGCTGATACCTGAGTTGGAACTTTTGCCAGAGAAAGAAAAGGAAAAAGAGAAAGATAAGGAAGAGGAAGAAGAGGAGGAGGTAATAAAAAACTCAGAAGACTGGCAAATTCATTCTTATTATGCTATTTCCACATGACTTTCTGGTTTTGTTTTAAATGTATAAGTTATATTAACTGATACTGAACATTTAAAGGGCTGTACTGCCACAGAAGGTTCATTGGGAAAAAAAAATTTGGAAATGTGTATCACAGAGAAGGTATAAAGGAGTCATGAATTGCTTTCTTAAAGCACTTAAAAGGTTGTCATTTAGAAGGATTGAACATTTTTGTGATTTAAGGGCAAAAAAAGTTACAAGGGAGGCTGATTTCTGTAAAACATAATTTCCTCACAATTAGAACTGGCTTGAAAGTAGACTTCCTTCATAAGACAGTCCCCTTGTATGCGTTCAAGCTAAAAGTTAGGTCCCTGTTTTTCAAAGATACTGGAGAGAAGGCTAAGCCTATAAGAGGAAGGAATTGAACAAAATCAGTAGTCTCGAAGGCACCTTCCATTTCTGAACTTCTGTGATCTTCGTTGTTACCAAGAGGTGCATGGAGAGTCTTCCTTGGATTTTTTTAATCTGTCTTTCAAGGCATGAAATTTGATACTGTTTCCCCAATATTTTCTTTAAAAAATTAAATGATTGAATCAGCTAACACCTCATTATCAACATTGGGGAATAAAGTGTTGCACTGAAATGAAATTGTCCTTTTAAACCAAAACCCGTTATTTGATTGCTTTTTGATGGGAATATTTGTAAAATGTACTGCTCCAGTGTGCCTTCCTGAACTATGACAGGCATAATTTAACCTTTTTTGGCTAGACAGTGGGGTTAAGTAACTTGCCCAGGGTCACACAGGCAGTAAGTGTCAAATGTCTGAGGCTGGATTTGAACTCAGGTCCTCCTGACTCCGGGGCCAGTGCTCTATCTTCTGCACTGCCTGGCTGTCTCTGACCTTTTCTTTAAAACCCATGGTAGAGCAAAAGAATGTAATGTGTTGGCATCAGGTCTAGAACCAGAGCCTGGGTTCACATTGTGGCTTTCATGCTTCATTACCTATGGGGCATTTAGCAAGTCATCCTACTTCTTTAAACTTCAGTTTCCTCAGTTATAAAATGAAGGGATTGTACTTGATAATGTCCCTTCTCTCTTAATTCTATGAGTTGATGATTATCAGTTATTATACTGTGCTGTGGTGTAAGGTTATTTAGTTGTGTAGGGGTGTTTGCCCTCCACTTAGTGTTTTCCAGAGTTAAGAATTCTTTCCTATAATTTGTTTTCTTAAAAATGACTGTCTCCTGGCTTAATGTCGTTTATTGCAATTATCGGTATGTCTTTAGTGAATCTTCTCCCTTTCTCTTTTGTAAGGCAGATTTCTAACCTTATTAAAATTGAATGTAAAATAAAAGCATTTGAACACTAATTGAGTCTGAGGCAGAGGTGTCAAATTCACTGCAAAACTTAAGTGTTGGCTATTTAACAAAATAAGCAAAAATATAACATAGATTATGTGATTTTGTGGTTTTCTAAATCAGTGTGAAACTGGAAGGATCCGTTTCTGTTTGAGTTTGACACCACTGGTCTCAGGAATTCTGTGGGGTTGAACAGGCATGAACTTAAACTTTTATAATTGGACCTCTCTTGCCTGTCTAGAAACCTTTTTCACTTAACTCTAGTTCTTTTCTCTGTTCTAATTGTGTTAGATGACTTCTCAATAAATAGAATACTTTTTATTTTATTTACCACACAGCAAAAAGACAGCATATCCTAATATGTATTTACTGACAAAATGAAACAGGAGGTAAAGGTGAAGTCTAGTGATGATGCTGGAATTTGAGAAAAGCAAACTTTTGTGTTTGTGTATATATATATATATATTTTTTTTTTTTTTTTTTTTTTTTTTAATTTTACTTAGGCTAGATTTGGCAGGCTGTGGCCAGGAGGCTAGTCTAGCTTTTATTTGGTACCTTTCGGAATCAGATTTAGGGTCTCTTTAGGCCTCTTTAGTGTCCTCTAGTGGAAAAAACAGTAGAGTTGAAGGTCTTAAACCTGAGTTTCTAATTCTGGATATATTAGCTACAAGTTTCCTAAAAACTATACCTCAGTTTCCTCTTGTTAATTTTATAGAACTATTGTGAAGTTTTGAAATGATGAAGTGTGTAAAGTATTTTAAACTGCAAGACACATGTAAGGTATTGCTATTATTAGGTTCCTATGATACCCATGAGTTTTGTTAAAATTCTAACAGTCCTTTGTGTTCTCTAGTGTTTATCTTTAATATTGTGGTATTTTTAACCAAGAATTGTTGTGAGCCAAGGCCTCTCCAAGTATACATTTTTGGATATTGTTCTTGGGAGCACAAAGCACTTTGATGTTTGTCTAAACTTTATAGCAACAAGAACTTGTGGGAATATGTAGCTTTAAAGGGTAAAAGGTAAAAGATATCTTGGTGTGCTGTATTCTTGTTTCTAGAACTGCTTTAAAGGGCTATGCCATCTTAAGCACACATACTGAACTGTAAAGCTTCTGCTTTGTACTAAATTTTTCAGCATCAGCTTTTGGGGGAACTGAGATGAAATTAGTTCAGTGCTTCGAGGATATTTAGAAATAAGAATTTAATTTTTTCCCCCAGTTTGGTTGTTTGATATTAAATCTAACCCAGCTATAATCCCCACCCCCCCCTTAGGAAGAAGATGCTACAGGGGGTGATCAGGATCAAGAAGAAAGAAGATGGAACAAAAGAACTCAGCAGATGCTTCATGGTCTTCAGGTATTAGTGATTTGCTTGTAGAGAAGAATGATAAAAGGGAACATTTGATTAAGTAATGATCCCCTTCCCCATAATTTACATAATAAAAATTAAAAGGCATGGTTATGTGGAAACTCTTTTAGAATAATGTAAATTTGAGATACAGATGGAAAAGAAATTTAGTCATGTCATTATTGAGGGTGTTGAAGTACTTAAACTCTTGTTAAATTTTATGCCACCCGCAAAGGGGTGGCATTAATTTCCCGTCACAAAAGACGGGAAAATTCCCCAGTGAATGCAGCCAGGTGGTTTTATTCATAACCCCTAGGTTCTAGCTAGCAGCATGGCTTTTTCTCAGAAGAAGCCTTCTTTGTAGATCCTAATAGTACCTTTCTTCTGTTAGGTCATAAATTTGGATATATTGAGTGGGTAGATAGCTTTTAACCACCTTTTTTTAAAGGCCATATCTAGATTTGGAGTAGGAAACCCTGTATATTTTTGTAGTCTTCTCCCTTTGTGCTTTGAAAGGTGCCCTTTGTATTGAGTCAAGTTAGGAACATGTATACCATGTAGTTCTTGTCAAACCTCTATGGTGTAAAAGAACGTTTATGTAAACTTTTATATAAGTTACCTAGAATTGTGTAGACCACATTTGGCAAATTTTATACTATGTTAAGTAGTTGTATTCTGTGGCTATATCAAAGAATTACTATTGTTTAATAATCTTAACCCCTTAAATTTGCATAATTCCCAGGATATATCCCAAGATATATTATGTGCATCTGATTTTCGTCCACCTGATTGATTTGAAAATTGTTTTTAGGTGTCCTTTGGTCTCCTGACAGAATAATCTTATCAGCACTTAGTTTCTTTTGCTGATCTTAGGCAAGGAGAACATATTAACTGGTACCTCATCATCAAATTGTACCCAAGAAAGTACACAATCTTAAATGGATACACAGTTCAGAAAATTCATCACTGTAATATTTCTGTGGTACTGTTTAGTTAAGTGTATTGTTAGTAGGTTTAGCCAAAAATTAATTTGCAGATTATCAGTCCTCATCTAATACAGAATAGTTACTGACTTAATGTAGAATGCTCGTTTTCTATCATCTCAAATTATGAAAGCTTTCTTAAATTGTTTATTCAGTCTACCTTTTATTTGCTTTTCAGAGAGCTCTTGCTAAAACTGGAGCAGAATCTATTAGTTTGCTTGACTTGTGCCGAAATACGAACAGAAAACAAGCTGCAGCAAAATTCTACAGCTTCTTGGTACTTAAAAAGCAGCAGGCTATTGAGCTGAAACAGGAGGAGCCTTACAGTGACATCATTGCAACACCTGGACCAAGATTCCATATAATTTGAATGTCTCAATGGATTTTAGCTAGTGTTTATTTCACTAGTATAAATGCATTGCCCCCAATGTGTAGGGCACATAAGACCATTACAGAAAATTTAGATTTTCGTTTGTACAAAGTATCTCTTGCCCCTTTTTATATTTTTAATTTACCATCTTCATTTTTAAGGGAAACTGCTCGGGTGGGTTTTGTTTGTATTCTGATGGAGATGTACTCTCCAGGAACCAGATAATGATTTTAACAGTTCAGAGCAGATGTGTGCAATATTGGTGCATGTAATGATGTTGAGTTTCAATGAAAAGTCATGATTTATATCTTAATTCTCCATTAGTGCATTTGAAAAATTAACCTCTCTGGGAAAAGCCTGCCAACCTCAAAACATTTATTAAATACCTATTATGTATAGGGTACTTGATCAAAAAATATGTCTGCTTTTAACAGAACAGAATTGGATTTTCTCTATAAACCTTTTGCTCTGATCTCTGGCTATCTGAAAACTATGGACAAATTTCTCCCCAGTTGAGTTGTTTAGTAGTTCCTACAACAATAGGAATTGGTTTTGTAGCACACTGAAAATCTTGTAATGATTTAGCAGGAGGCAAACATCTCTGCAGAGCACTTGCTGAAACCAAACCTCGTCAGATGAAAGGCCAGACTTGTTTAGGCTAAAGCATTCCCAGTGTTCTCTGAATCATCTAGTTCAAATCCATATCATTCTAGCTCATTGTAGAGATGCCATTATTTTTATTGTTGCCTTGGAGGCTTGCTATAACAACCCACAGTAGCGAAGAATTTAGTTTCATGGTATGAACACTGAAGTCAGATTTTCTTTCAGGATTAAAGAGGAATTCTAGCTACACATAAGCTATAAATCAAGCTTTTTTTAAATAAAAGTTTTCAGATAATGAACCACTTATTTGGCATGTTCAAATCATGAAAAAAAAATCAAGGAATAAAGTACTACAAAATGTCTTGTATGTCAAAGGGGCAGACTGATGGGAAGCCACTTACCTGATTATACTTATTAAGCAGAAGATGCTATGTTAACTGTAATGGCTTTTCTGATATTTATTATAAGTCTTAGTATTGATCTATTTTTCCAATACTGCACACTCCTGTGTTTGAACCTTTATTTTAATAGCTTTGCAAGAGAAAATCCTGCACCTGGTTTCCTATAATTTAAAAAACTAAAACAAATGAAAAAGCAAAAAAAAAATAATAATAAATAAATAAATAAATAAAGGCTTTATTGTTAACAGACCAGATAGAACCAGAAATTATGTGAATATGTTGATTATCAAAACATGTCTTAACTTTTTTTAGGGCAAAATTACACTAAAAGTTCTGGCGTAAACGTTGGCACTTTGGTGGAAAACATTAACTTTTGAGACTCAGATTTCCATATATACCCAATAATGTAAAATTATGTGAAATGTTTTAAAAATTTGTGAGACTGCATAATTACTGTTTTAATAATTCAATTTCTTGAGAAAGGTAATTGTATAAAATTGCTACTGCAGCTTTATCAACATGATGTGCCTGTAAACCATGGAATTCCCCTTTGTAAAAAGACATTGTAGATAATTTGAATGTTTAATTATAGAAAGGTCATTAGTTTCTTGTTACACATTTTGTTAGTCTGGTTTTTGTTGCTTATCAGGTTTAATATTGTTCTTGAAAATAGTTGATGCTGTGTTATGTATAACTTTTCTAATAAAAGTTGTGTTATAAGCTGTATTTTTCTTTTTTTTTTTTGCTTTAATTTGAGATAAACTAATTTTTATAGCTGGAAGGGAACTTAGAGATCATCTAGTTATTCTGCTCATTTTACTTGCTCAAGGTTGTAAGTTGTAAAATGACAGAGCCATAATCTGAAATCAGATTCTCTGAACCTAAATACAATACTTATTACACTGCTGTGCCATGTTGCTTTCTCTTAATGAGAAAAAATAAACAATAGCTCAAAATCTTGCCTTTTGTTCACCTTATCTTGTCTAATGAATAGAAATATTTTACAGGTTGCAGTCCTTCCACAACTTAGACCATCTTCATGATTTGTGTCCAAATAATTTCATCATCTGCTAGCCAATCTTGTGATGTACCTCTGAACTTGGGCTGATTTTTGAATGGCAAAAATACAGTATGTTATCAAGCTCTTAAAATAGGACTCATCAGAACTTCCATTTCTTTGGTTTAACTTTTGAAAACTTTCAATCCATGAGGTATCAGCACAATTTTAGTAGAGGAGAGAATGTAAAACCAAAAGTAATGTTTTTATGCCATCTTATAAAATGTAATGGGGGGGAGGGCAGATAGATGGCACAGTGGATAGAACACCATCCCTAGAGTCAGAAGGACCTGAGTTCAAATCTGGACTTGGACACTTGACTCTTAACTAGCAGTGTGACCCTGGGCAAGTCACTTAACCCCATTGCCTAGACAAATAAAATAAAATGGGTCTTGGAACTGCTGCTTTTTTTTCTTTTAAACACAGCTTGTTATATGAAGGTTAGTTGAAGGAACTGGAACCATTTAACCTAGAGCATAGAAGATGGGGGAGACAAACTTGTTTTGCTTTAGCCTCACAAGAACTAGAAGCAACAAGGTTAAGTTTCAGAGAGGCAGGTTCAGACTCAAAAACTAGCTACTGAAAAGTGAAGTGGCTGCTTCAAAAAACAAGGAGTACTATATCATTGTAAAGTTCTTAGCACAATAGCTGGCACATAAATGCTTGTTTCCTTCCATGTCACTCCCAAATGTGACATGTCTTTTAAACTAAAGATGGGTGACAATTTGGAGAGGATTCCTATTAGGGTACAGATTAGACTCCACCCCTGAGGTTTATCTGTTCCAACTCAGTTTTGACATGTTTTAAGTGCTACTTAGGAGATGGGGTAGTATGAAGTGATGGTTGTTGGGCACCCTTGTGTCTTTCGGAGGAGTTTACAGAAGCTGGTAGTGTTTAGGTAATGAAGGAGCTGTGGTGTGAAGCAAAGGAACATACTTAGCTAGTATATCCAAACATTGGGGTTTGGCTGTACTTCAAAGGGATACGGAGGCTGAATGGGCGTCTATTTGGGAGGGGCAAGTGAGAATCAGGGAGAATTACTTCAGATGACTTGTGATGTCTCTCTCTGGCTTCTAAGAGTTAGCCAGTAGCACTTCAGTGGGTCTGGTAAAGACACTACATGGAATAATTGTTCCTGAGCTGAGCCTTCAAGGAAGCCAGGAATTTGAAGAGGTAGAACAGAGAAGAGAAAATGCATTCCAGGAATGGAGACCAGTCTGGCTCTGGGAAAATCAGACTATGTAGGCTTGTTGGGAACAAAGCATGGAAATGTCCTAGGTGTCCTCTCCCCCTCATTTGCCAGTGCCTTGTTTTGGCTACTATGACTCCGCTCATGATTAAAGGTGCTCCTAATGTATGAATTTCTAACTATAAAAGTGAGGCTAAGTGATGGATTAGGCCAATATTATTGCTGATTATTATTGTCATTATTACTACTTACTGTCTATTTAAACTGTAAAATTATAACCCCCAGTTCTGCATACTCTTTTTCTAAGAAGAAACATTTGTATGACCTATAAATGTGGTTTACTGTAATTTTTTTGCTTACACACTGAATTAATAGCTTTATAAGACTGCCTGTCAAAAGCACAACACTTATTCTTCAAACTTATGCAAAATGTTCCCTTGTGTTACCTATTTTCAACTCCTGATTCTGAGATAACAGTAACTTCTCTCAGTCATTCTTAAGGACATTTATTACTATCCAAGTTAAGCAGACTCCCATCACCACTTCCCAATGTCACTGACCATGTAACATTCTTAGGTTAATCATGGAAACAAATTCATCATAAGTCCTACTCCTGATAACTGGCAGCTGCATCTGCAACTGCTGAACAAGAATGACCAATGATAATTCAGTCACATGTGTCCTGGCCAATTCAATCAATCAACAAGCATTTATTAGGCACCTGGGAATACGAAGACTGAAAAATTACTCTCAAGATGCTTAAAATCCTATTTGGAGATGCAATATACATACACAGAATAAATATAAAAAATAAATACAGGGGAGAGACAAAGGGCACTAGGAAGTGAGATTGTGAAAGGCTTTGTGGAGGTGATATCTCTTAAAGGAAGCAATTATATAAGTGAGGGAGTGAAGTGCCTTAAAAGCAGTATAAAGATATGGAGAAGGGGTATGGGAAGGTAGAACACTGTGTAAGGAATGGAAAAACAGCCAGTTTGACTGGATCATAGAGTATGAGGAGAGTATAATGAGTCAGTCTGGGACAAATTGAGGTATTGGTGAGACCTTCAGGTCAAGGTCCTTAGGCTCCTGGAGCTCAAGTGAGAGGTCAGGATTGGAGCTAGTGTTTGGGAGACACCTGCATAGTAATGATAGGCTAAGCTATAGGAGTGAAGGAGACTACCAAGGGAAAATAAGTAGAGAGGAAGCCAAGTTCAGACCCTCAGGAAGAGAATGTTAAGCTGGTGAAGAAGACAAAGTGGGACTTTTCCACTCAATTGGTGGAACTGAAGGCCAAGAAAAATTGCTGACTGATGAATGAATTACTGCTAAGAAATCAAATCTTTCATGTGCTCTTCAAAGAGGATCTCAATTCTTGGGATATTTCCACAGCAAATAATAACTCACATTTATGTAGGTTTTTAGCTTTACAAAGCACTTTTTTCACAACCCCATGATCGAGGTAGTTGCAAATATTTTTATCCCCATTTTAGATGAGGGAATTAAATGACTTGCCCATGCTAGGAAGCAACTTGACAGCCAATATCAGACAGGATTTGATTCCAGTTGTCCTGACCCCCAAATTTACTGTTCTTTCCACTGTGCTTCTCTATCTCTGTGAACGTAGAAAGCTGAATTACAAAATTATGGGTAAGTTCTCCAGAAATCATCTGGTGCTACCTCCTGCCCTCTAAACTGTCCTGAAAGATGCCTCAGATTTCTAACATAGCATTCATTTAAAAAGTCTGTCATGAAACAAAAGTCCTAAATATAATAGTCCCACATATGTTGAAATATTCATAAAAACACTTATTACAAAACTAGAAATGAATCAAATGTCCAGGTGGGGAATGACTAAACCGGTTATAATACATGAGTTGCAATAGAATATTAAGAAACTATAGCTACGATGAAGAGAAACATGGGAAAATTTATATGAAATGACACAAACTGAAATAAGTAAAACCAGGAAAACACTGTGCAGAATGACTAGAGCAATGGAAACGTAAAGAACAACCATCAGAAAACAATCAATGTAAAGAACAACCAGAAAACAATTAAAAGTGAATATTATGAAATTATAAAGAACAAGCTTTACTCCAAAGAAAATTTGTGAGAAGGCACCTGCCTGCCTTGTTTTCAGAGGAGGCAGACTATGAGTGTGGAACACTGCACAAAATAGACTTTCTTCAATATGTTGGTTATTTTTTAGTGATTTTTTTTTTTTAGTGAGGCAATCGGGGTTAAGTGACTTGCCCAAGGTCACACAGCTAGTAGGTGTCAAGTGTTTGGTCTGAGGCCAGATTTGAACTCAGGTCCTCCTGACTTCAGGGCCGGTGCTCTATCCACTGCACCACCTAGCTGCCCCTTGAATTTTTTAAAGAATATTTTTATTCCATTTTAGGGGATGACTCTCTGGCAGGGAATGGGGGAAGGTAAACACTGGGAAATGTAGGTTATATAAAAATAAAATGTATTTAAAACATAAAAGAAACTGCATATGAAGATTTAGAGAATCATGTAAAGATGTGAACTGATGCAGAGTGAAGTGCATAGAACCAAGGAAAACAACATGCTTAATGACTCCAGCAATGAAAATAGAACCAAAAGATCAAAACTAAAGGAAGCATGATTGAGGACCAAGGTTGGCCCCAAAGCAAAAAAGAAAAAAAAATACACCTTATTTCCTTCAATGCACAGGTGGAGACTATGGGTGTGGATCCTCAAATATACTATAGAACCAAGCTGATGGGTTTGATTAATTTTGTTGCTCTGCTATTTTCTCTCTCTTTTTTTATTCCTTGTTGCAAAAGATGGCTCACTTTGAGAAAGGGAAGAAATAAAACAGATAAAAATGAAAGATGCTATCAATACAATTTTATGAATATAACTTCAGTGTCCTAAAAAAAGTGTCATACTGAATACTTATTTTAATTCACTATACAATTTCATTCAAACCTTTCTACTGAGTCTGCTATAAATCATAAAATCACTAATTTAAAATGAATGGGTATCAAAGATTTATCACTATATGCCAAGTACTCTGCTAAGTATTGGGAATACAAGTATAAAAGTGAGAGAATCCCTGCTGTCAAGGAGCTTACATTCTAATAATTGGAGGCAAAGTTTGGGTGAACGAATGAAAAGGCACCTGACAAAGGCATTTCCAAGATCATAAAGCACAGAAAAGTTACAGAGTTCCATTTGTAATAGAAGTTTCCTCTTTGGGGAACTCCCTAATTAACTGGCTACAGTACTCTAAGACTTCTCTGACTTTTCCACCATGCTCCAGGAAGCTCATCATTGGAAAAAGCTCATTGGCCTTAGTATTCTGCCTCATCAACATCCCTCTGATTAGAGGATATGGCCCTGAACACCAAAGCCTCCATTTAAGGAGGGAGCTCAGCTCAGAACATCTCATTTTTCACCAGGCTGTACTACTTGAGGATTTTTTGGACTTTTCTCCTAGGTGGTATAATT